TACCGTACGTCGGTTACGGTCCGGTACGTACGTAGAACGTACGTAGTAGTAGTTACGGTAGGTTAGGTACGTAGGTAAGTTAATTATAGTNTGTATATATATATATATATATATATATATATATATATATATATGAATGTTGAAGTGAACTGGTCATGCAAATTACTTGAAGAGTTAAATTATTTTAAAAAATTATGAAACTACAGCGACTTTTGCACCAACAAATTGGTAGGTGGTGAACAAAATATCAGATAACTGCTTCTTAAGGTGCTGGATAGTGGTTATAGGAATCGAACATTGGATGTTTCGTTGTCTCAAAAGCACTAACGACTTATATCTAAGACATGGAGTTGGTTTCTGCTATGCTGTGCAGTTGTCTTTCATTAAAATTTAGATGGCTTTTGAGTTATCCGTAGTGCTACTCTTGAACCATGTATTTTATTAGTGGGTGGGTGCCAATGGCTGGTTGGATTCCTTAAGAATAGATTTTCGCTGGGATGCATTAGGATAGCAAATTGGGTAGGCAGGATAAGAGGTGAGGTGAGGTAGGTGAATGGTGTGATTATGAAAGCCGTTAGTGGGGACATGGGATGTATGATTAAAGGAGATGGATTGGCTGATGAAGGTTGTGAATTTTGTTACCTTGAAGTTTCTTGATGATATCATGAGGCATTGTTGAGGGTCTATTTTGGAATTACTCTTGCATGGAAAATAATTTTTAGGAAATTTCAGTTCTCGTGCTATGTTCCATACTTGGGCTATTTTAAAAGCTGCCCATGTGTTAGTGAATTGAATGCTAATAGGCATACATAATGCTCCTTGGTGTACATATTGGGTTTCAGTTTGATATCTATGTATTGAGGCCACCTGCTTTCTTTTTTTTAAATTTTTTTTTTAAAATTTTATTTATTTATTTATTTTTCTGTATTGCTGCGAGAAATAGTGTTGTTTTTAAACATTTGAACACTACCAAACCCTTGAATTATCACCTTTAGATATTGTAGAGCAATAATACATATCGCTTTAAGTTTAGGATGTGGTTAGCATGCGGCAGCCCGCATATTGTAGAAATGCGGGAACAGCAATAAATTTATTTTTAAATATAATTTGATCTTAATTTTTAGAAAATATATAAATCTTTAACATGGAGATCATAAATATTAAAAGAAATAAAATTGAAAATTAGAAAAAATAATTATATTTAGAAAACACTTGTGACTCTTAGTTTCAATTGTTTTTAGATGGGCCACCTATTTGCATCCTCGGATGCTTTATACCTCTGGCTTGCATATTTTAGATATGCAGTCCACCCTGACTGAAACAATTGTTCTAAAGTTCAAGCATATCCTTCATGTCTTGCCTGGTTGGTGACGGAGCGAGGGGGTGATCCTTCTAAGCAATTTCATCTTTCACGAGTTTAACATTTTTCTTTTGGTCGAGGTACTTTTATTTTGCTCCATCTTGTAACGATAGTCGGTCTCTTAACCATTTTAAAGGAACGGAGATCCCTATATTGGGGAAAGAATTATTTAGGTTACCTATTTACCAATGGATCTAGATTTATTAGGCCTTAAATCTAGGCTTTAGAAGGATTTTTTGTTTTTTTTTTTCAAATTTTTAACATAGCTTTGTTATCATTAGAGGAACAATGCTAAAAAGGAAAAAACTTGATTTTGAATTCCGAAAGGCACAAATATTAAAATTCACCAATTGGACCGTTTAGATTAATTGACGGAGGGACTCATTTTGATCATGAATAAGGTGAAAAATCCCTGTCCCCCTTATTTAAATACTGAAAATTGAAAATTTTTTAATTTTTATATTCATTTTACAAAAATAAAATATCCAGTGACCCACAAAAATTTAAATAATCATTCTAAAAATCAATTAACATAAAAATAAATAAAACCAAATAAATTTAATGAGAATAAGGTTTTTCTAAATTTAGGAAATAATATTTATGAAGCACTTCATCTTCTACTGTAGATTATAATCCACACTTGCTTTATCAAAATAACTCAACAGTTTCTATGATCTACAGACTACTTGTAGGGGTTCATGATAGGGCTATCAAAGTCAGCCAATTAAGTAAAGGGGCGCAATCTCAGTCTATGGATTGCAGGTTCTCCCATAGAGACGAACCCATGGTCACCTAGACTGGATGCAACAATAGCTCTATGGTGCATAGGGGTAATCTCTCGCACATGTACACACTTTACTCTCAATGGTGGTTCGCTTTCCCGGTATAACTATCATATGTACATGCCATGTGATGGTTCAATGATGAGGCTTTGACTCTCATATCTAGTGGCCAACCATCACATACAAGGATCATACAGTCCCTTGGTTCACTCTCCTTGACAACTCCGACCTCATCATGGGATAACCCATAGACCCTCATCGGTTTTGTTCCATGCCTAGGTAATTGGGATTTTCCAACTCGATTTGCCTAACATGTCAAGTAAAGTTTGAGTTTTGACAAATAATATATTTCCTTACTATGGTCTACAAAGGACTACACTCCAACTCAATTTATATTTCACTATAAAAATTTGATTATATGCTCTCATAAGGCTTTTATTGGTATTCCCACTTGGCCTTTGAAGGCCTTACAGTCTATCTTCCTCACATTTTCATTCCCCAATTACAATCTCTCTTAAGCATTTCTCAAATATTCTATTTTATTATATTAACCCTGGCATACACCGTTAATCCTTACACCGTCAACCCTGGCTACTCGGATCGCATCCCGAACGTGGGCGTAGTCCATCTTTCATGTTGCTCTGCGAATCATGAACTTGTGGTCGTAGAATATCATCAGGTACCATCATCGCATATGGTCGTATCTTTAGCAACTCAAGGGAGCTCTTCAATCAAGCTGTTGCCTTTTATAGCCATACAACTAACGTCTAAAAATCCCTACGGCTCATGGGGTGGTCACAGTTTTGCTGACCAACCCAGACAATCAATCTACTCTACCTTGATCAGTCATGGGGCATCAATGACCGGGGAATAGCGGTGCCCCCTGGTAATAAATGATGAACCTCAATGCACCACTTCAACTTTCGAGGCAAATAATCCCGCCCTTGAAAAATTTAGAAGCTCTCCTTAATTCGAACAAATTTGATTATGCTATGAAAGGTACACTTACGAGTTGCTCGAAGCTTGACATATGCTTTTAACCCAAGGCTTTCATATTGTGCATGGCCTAAGAACTATGAAAGAGGGGATTGGTCTCTCTAAAATGTGGATGCGTTAAGAACTACAAAATGCTTATACAAACATTAGACTCCATATAGAAAACCAGAGGATATCACATTCGGGGCCAAAATGACCCATGCACTTTATATCAGAAACACATGCTTTGTTATTTACACTGAGGCCAAGCTGTCGCTGGCTCTCCCCTTATTTGTGTGGGCTTCAGAAGTATGTCAAAAATAATGTACAACACGGTGGTCTGAGAGTTGGAATTCTTAAGATAGCTCAAAAAGATATCGAATTCAGTGTGTGGCAAATAGGGGCACGCTATCGGTGTACGAGAATGAGAACAGTGAAGTGAAAGAAAGAACGAAGCCGTGGGAAGTTGAGGGTGAACGTTGTCGTGGTTCCGTATAGAAGGAGGAAGAACAGGGTCGCATACTTGTTGTGGTCACACTCAAAGCAAAGGAGAAGAGAGGATGAAGGGGTCGCAGGTTTGCTGTGTTGGCGCACCGAGCAAGGGAGAAACAACCTGAAAGTCGGAGAAAGAGACGAGCTGTAGGTTCTGTGGCTCCAAGACTTTATGCGCGACAGGAATGTGAGCGAGAGGAGGCTTCAAGGATCGCAGTTCCGTTCGCAGTGAAAAGGGAAGACAATGTCGGGAAAGTAGAGAAGGGGAAGAGAGACGGGGCCGCGCGTTTGTCGCGACTTTGGGCTATTGTACGATCAAGGCGACACTTAGAGAGAAAGGAAGAAGAAAGAGAAGTAGGAAAGAGGAGAGAGAGTGAGCTTAAGGCATGGCCTGAGCCTAAGAGAGATGAAGAACATGGCCGCAGGTTTGCTGCAGTCACGCTCAAAGCAAAGGAGAAGAGAGGATGACGGGGTTGCAGGTTTGCTGCACTGGCACACCGAGCAAGGGAGAGAAAACGAGAAAGCCGTAGAAAGAGATGAGGCCGCTGGTTTCGCAGCTCTGAGACCTTACGTGCGATGGGAATGAGAGAGAGAAGGGGCTTCGGGCCAAGGTTAGTGCGTGTGGGCTACAGGATAGGCTCACATGATGGGCCAGAGGTAGTTTCTGTCTCTAAAATTTTTCTCTCTCCTTGCCGTTAGATTCAAGAGTTAGAAGCAAAAAACAAGTGGACACGAGCTTAATGCGTCAATTTCATTCATGAATGATCCATCCCTTTTACAATTGACCTAAGCTTGCTTATATAGAGGACCCATATCACACCTCGAGTTTTATAACACAGATTCCTAAGATGTGACATTCTATTTTTAAAGAACACAACATATTCAAAATTTTTACTATATATTGCTCCAAAACAAATTTTCCATTCAAAAGTTTTTTTTACAAAGTCTATTTCACAACTTATAATAACATGAAGATATATATATATATATATATATATATATATATATATATATATATAT